ATATATCATAGAAGATCATAGAAACTTCATAGATTATAGAAAGTTGCAATGTGGGGTCCTGACATAAGGAAGATCAAGTAAATCCCCCTTCAACGAAACCAAAAGATGAAGAGGTGGAGACTTATGAACTAAAATCAATTGAGAAGTAGTGACAAGTTTTGCTAACCACTCAGAAGCTAAGTTTCCTTCCCCAGGGACTTGGAACCATTTAATCCTAAGATTAACAGTCATGTTGGAAATCAACAAAAGATGAGAAATGTGCCAATGGACAGAAGAAAGACCCATGCAATACTTCCAAAGATTAAGAGAGTCCATTTCCACAATAATTATATGTACATGCACAATTCGAAGCCGCAAACTCAAGATTAGAAATCAAACCCTCAATTATTATATCACGGATAAATGACCAAGTTGATACTAATGCAACATATTCTACAATTAGTAATATAACTGTCATTAAAATTAAAAAAGAATCTTTATTAAATAAATAGATGCGAACCCAAAAATCTGGCCCTTCTTGTAATTGCAGAGGTGCCATCTAAAAAAGCACCATTGATTTGTTTGCATTGTTTTGCAGGAAAAAGAACATGTAGACACTTCTTCAACTTCTGACATGGAGATGGCCAGCCGTTGGATTGGTAAGACCCCGCGTAGGATTCATCAAAAGTAGCCGTTGTAAAGCCCGGAGCCATCTTCTCTCATTTTTATTACAGTCCGAACATCAATGATGTCCGTTAAAAACTACACACACACACACACAAAACTGATCAAACAAACTAGCCGTTGGCTGCAGAACAATTGAAGAGAAGAAATAAAATCGATTTCGCAACATCTAAATTTACTGCGCCCACCTTAGTCTACCTCCATTACTTCTCAGAGCACCTTCTCCCTCCCCCTCTCTCCATGTTGAGCAAAAGATCCACCGATCGCCTGACGAGGAAGAAGGCCCATCTGCTTCGGCGTAACCACTTGCTCCTCCTGTTCATCCAAGTCGCAACCTTTCTACTCATCATCCCCTTGTCCAACCCATCTTGGGATGGAGTTATCATCTCCCAGGAAGACTACGAAGGTCTGCAGGCCTTCAAGCACTCCATTGACGATCTCCGAGGCTTCCTGCGAAGCTGGAACGGCACTGGTCTCGGAGCCTGCTCTGGCGCATGGGTCGGGATCAAGTGTGTACGCGGCAAGGTGATTGCTATCCAACTCCCATGGCGAGACTTCGAGGGCCATATTACAGAGAAGATTGGACAACTCAACGCCCTGCGCAAGCTTAGCCTCCATGACAACGCCATCAGCGGCCAAATCCCTTCTGCGCTAGGTTTCCTTCGTGAACTCAGGGGAGTTTATCTCTTCAACAACAGGTTATCTGGCACCATTCCGCCGTCCATTGGCAGTTGCATTGCGCTTCAAACGATCGACATCAGCAACAATTTGTTATCCGGTATCATCCCTTCTTCGTTATCCAATGCTTCCAGGCTTTACAGGCTTAATCTTAGCTTTAACAACTTGACTGGTTCGATTCCTGATGGCGTTGCAAGTTTGCCATCTCTGACATACCTTACTCTCCAGAACAATAATCTCTCTGGTAACATTCCCGAAACTTGGGGAACATATCAGCTTAAAACCCTTAATCTGGATCATAACTCAATTTCCGGTAACATTCCGAAGTCTCTGGGTGGATTGGCGTTGCTGCGTGATGCCATTTTGAGTAATAATCGGTTGAATGGAAGTTTTCCGTTGTCCATGTGCAACCTCTCCTCCTTAGTCCAGCTCAACCTTGAGAACAACCAAATTGGTAACAGGCTTCCAGCCGCCATTGATGGGCTTAAGAACCTATCACTTCTTTCTTTGAAGATGAATCGATTTGATGGTGAGATCCCAGAAACGTTAGGTAACATTTCTAGTCTTTCCCAACTGGATTTATCTGATAACAATCTCACTGGGAGGATTCCTTCTTCTCTCGAACATCTGGTGAATCTTACCTTCTTTAATGTCTCTTATAACAATCTTTCCGGCCAAGTTCCTCTTTTTCTGTCTAGGAAGTTCAATTCAAGCTCTTTCTTAGGAAACATCCAGCTCTGCGGGTACAGTAACTCAGTCCCCTGCACACCTCCGCCTTCTCCAAGTTTCCCACCACCATCTGTTCCCCCAAAACACAACCACACTAAACTAAACACCTTGGATATCATCCTCATTGTTGTAGGAATCACCCTCGTGCTACTTGTAGTCCTCTGCTTTATCCTTCTCTGCTGTTTGATTAGAAAAAGATCAGCGTCCACTTCGAAGCCCGGCACAGCTGGACCCAGCAGCGAAAGAGGCGAGAAACCTGGGCCAGGCGCTGCGACCGAAACGGAATCCGGCGGCGATATCGGAGGGAAGTTAGTCCACTTCGATGGTCCGCTGGTATTTACTGCCGACGATCTCTTGTGTGCAACGGCGGAAATAATGGGCAAAAGCACGTACGGGACGATGTACAAGGCAACGCTAGAGGATGGGAGCCATGTTGCAGTAAAGAGACTGCGTGAGAGGATTGCAAAGAACCAGAAAGAGTTCGAAACAGACGTAAATGTTCTGGGAAAGATCCGGCATTCTAATTTGCTAGCTCTCAGAGCTTACTACGTTGGCCCCAAAGGAGAAAAGCTCCTGGTGTTCGATTTTATGTCCAAGCGAAATCTTTCATCTTTTCTCCACGGTAAGCACAAATCATAACAGTAAAAACCAAACTAATCCTAAATTCTCACACCATTTTGCTGCCATTGTAGCTCGCGGACCAGAGACCACCATAGATTGGCCGATTAGAATGAGGATTGCGATGGGCGTCGCTCGTGGCTTGTGGCACCTTCACTCCAAAGAGAACATCGTCCATGGAAATCTCACTGGCGGCAACATTCTTCTAGATGATAATACAACTGCAAAAATTGCAGATTTTGGGCTCTCCCGTCTCATGACAGCGGCCGCGAACTCCAACGTTATAGCCGCCGCGGGAGCTCTGGGATACCGGGCGCCGGAGTTGTCGAAGCTGAAGAAAGCGAGCACGAAGACGGATGTGTATAGCCTCGGCGTTGTCATTCTGGAGCTTCTAACGGGAAAGTCGCCCGGCGAGCCGATCAATTGCATGGAGCTGCCACAGTGGGTGGCGTCGGTGGTGAAGGAGGAGTGGACGAACGAAGTGTTTGATGTGGAGATCATGAAGGATGCGGCGGCTGGGGATGAGTTGCTGAACACTTTGAAGCTGGCTTTGCTTTGTGTTGATCCGTCGCCGGCTGCGAGGCCGGAGGTTCAGGAGATAATGCCGGAGCTGAGGGAAACAGATGAAGGTGGTTTTGGGGGAGACGAAGGAGGAGGAGCATCGACGTCTGGGGGTAAATGAGGGAAATACGCATAGCTGCGTGTACGTGTACACAAGCTGCGTACATCCTGGGGTTATTCAATAAGTACAGAGAAGTTATATTGGGAGGCGTAGGCATCGCTGCGTGCGTCCAGGGGTTATTCAATAAGTACAGAGAAGTTATATTGGGGTTATACCCCTCTGTAATTTCTCTGTAACATACCTGTAACTTACAAATGAGTTCCGCGCTTCTGTAGTTTCATGGGAATAAATAAGTTACATGAAGGTTATAGGGGAGTTACACGGAGGTTACAGGGGGTATAACTCGGATATAACCCCCTGTACCCCCTGAATAACCCTTGATGTACGCAGCGCTGCGTACGTCTTATGTACGCAAATATTTTCCGTAATGAGGGAGATGCGGTTGCCCAACAGGTTCAATATATAATTCTCGGCGAGGTGGTTTTAAGAATATTAATTGCACCTCCTATGAAAGTGCTCTAATATTTGAGTGATGATTTTTTAAATTGATTTTATTGAATATATGACATTTTTTTGTTCGTATTTTTCTCTTCCTAGATTTGTAATAGAAGTTTAAACTTGGTTGTTGACTGATAATATGGGCCATGTAATTTGAAGTAGGTTCAAACAAGTTAAGCCCCACATTAATGTTGATTTAAACTTTTGTCTCTAAAGTGGGGTATAAAGCTTAACTTCAAGGGTGGATTGAATTTTATCCCAACTCAATTAGAAGCAAGGTATTCAAACCCTGTGTTTGAAAGGGGTGGTAGAACTAAGGTTAGTTAAGCTCATAGTAGGTAATTGGCCACACTGTAATTTGAGATTTCTCAATAAATTATAGAAATTTATTGTTTTTTTTTACAAAATTTAGGCAAGTTGGTTATTTTGCCCACTCTCAATAATTTCTTTTTTTTTATTTTTAATACTAAAATTTAATTTTTTGGTAATTTTGCAATTAAATGTTAAACTTGAAGTTGGTTCCACTGCTATTTGAAGAAACCTTGGTTCAATCCTTATTTTAGATGAGGTTCAAGGTATGGCATAATACTTCATAATATAAACAAATCCTACGTAAAGAGGTTGTTATATTACTTGGAACTTCAGAATATGTGGTGCCAATCCAACATGATGAGGATCATACATCATTTGGAATTATAGTTGGTAATTGCCCTCCCTGTAATTTGAGATTTCTATATATAAAAATTCGATATTTTTCAACAAAATTTTTGGCAACTTGGTCATTTTTGCCCACTCCAAATAGTTTCTTTTTTTTTTTCTAATAACAAATTTTAATCTTTTGGTATTTTTTCTCACTCTTAAAATTTAAGCTAGTTTTGGCCCTACTTGAAGAAATCTTGGCTCAAACCTTAATTTAGACGAGGTGGTACCAACCCTACATAAATAGGTTCATGCATTATTTGGAACTCCTTAAAACTATTCAACTTTGTTTAAGCTTATTAATCATATATGGATTGATATTCAATTGCATTTACATAATACATGTCAAAACTTATTATTCATAAGAAGCATTATATAGTTTAGATCACATAAAAAGCTAATGGAATATTATAGAAAGTGATTAGATATTGTGAATGTTTTTTCAATGCTCCTCTGATATAGCTCCTTAGGACCCAAACTCGTTTACTACACATGAGAAAGGTTGATGATAATGAGGATAAAGGGGTACTTCAATGTGCTCAATGTTGAAGATAAAAATAAAAGATTGGCATATTTTAATTTGTGTTGATTGTTAAATTAAGTTTTGAAAAATTTTATAGTGATAACAAGTCTATAGAGATGATACATGCCCAAAATTTAATTAAAATTTAAATGACAAAGAGGTTAAAGGGCACTTTATTGTGCTCAATATTAAAGATAAAAATATCAAATTGGCATATTTTAATTTGTATTAATAACTAAATTAAGTTCAAAAGAATTTAATAAGAAAAGACATTTTATGACATTATGAGTCCTTATGAGCTTATCCAAATTAAAACATTGAAAAATAAAAAAAATTACTATACAAACTAAATAACTTAAACGAGTGTTGTTGTTGTTGTTGTTTTTTTTTGAAAAAATAAAATAGGTGGGATATTTATAAGAGAAATTAGAAGATGATTCACATAAATAGAATGATGGAATTTCCTCTTTCAGTCAAATATAACAATTTCTTATTAGCATTGAAGAACTAAAGGACAATTAGTTAAGTATTTAAATTTGGATTTTATTACTTAATTAGTTCAAATAAAAAATATCTTATTTAAACTAATTTCATCTTCAGTAACAAAGCCTGAAGAAAACATTATTATGCCTTCACAAGATGAAAATTCAACATGTGTGGTTGTCCTATCACATGATGTTCATAATGTGGTATTTAAGAAGATAAAAATGAAGATAAACTATTTTAGTGATCCCTCTAAAAAAGGCATGAAATAAAAATTACTAGTCCTCTACATCTAATTAAGAAATTATAATTGTCTATGATCAAGAGAGTAAACAAGTTAAATGAAATATATATCGGAATTAAAAGTAGAATCATTGTATCATGATTATAATAATTAAACATGCATATAATTTGTCTGAATAATAAAATAACATTATAAATGTTTATATAATAATATTTTGACCTTATTAGCTTTATAATATGATTTATTGGCAAGTTACTTTTTTGTAGGAAAGACACTTTGTGTTTCTTAATAAAAAGAAGTGTGTACAAAGACACCCAAAGACATAAAATATATGTTATCATTTTGGTGAAAACTTTGCTCAAGATTATAAAATACCATTTGCCATTTAAAAAAAATCCCAAATAGGTTTGAAGTGATTGTCAATGGTGTTGGAATACACTATCAGTGATGAAGACATATTTTAATACAAATATCGGAAGCATGTTTCATATATTTTTTAGTGAATTATCTACATATTCATTAGATTTTTTGCAGCTTATTTTCTGTAAAAAAATGATAATATTATAAGAATCGTACCTTTCTATAATTATTAATTATTTTTTACAGAAGGCAATGAACTTTTTTAACAAGTACATAAGAAGATTTTAGGATATTTATGGATTTTGGCAATATTGTATTACAAGAAGGCCTCTCACCATCACCTCAAAATGAAAAGGGACAAGCCATATGAGATCAAGAATAAGTCAACTACTTTTGACTTTGGCATAAACTATATCATTATGAATAAAATATTTTAATAAGGTTACATTACTTATTTAGTAATGGAGATTACTTATTTAGTAATGGAGATTGTGGAGTCTTTACAACATTTTGTACTTAATTTCTATGAAAAACTTTCAAGAAATAGCTAGAGACCATATTTAAATATTTAGATATTATCTTTATTTAGATTTCTTTTTAATAACACAAATCTTAGGTTTTACTATATTCACAAAAGTGACATTGTAGTTCTTGTTGCAGGTGGGGAAGTTCACAACCATAGAGTGATAAATTGACTTCTAATTGTTTTATAAAGATCTAACACATACATATATGATAGAAGAACTATACGAGATACCAGAGTTTTTACATGAAAATTTTAGAAAAGAAAAAATCACAGATCCGACCCAACTAAAATAATTTTATTAATGTGTCATATGTTACAATTGTTGTACATTGTTGTAAACTTCTTAATTGTAACATATGACACATTAATAAAATTATTTTAGTTGGGTCGGATCTGTGATTTTTTCTTTTCTAAAATTTTCATGTAAAAACTCTGGTATCTCGTATAGTTCTTCTATCATATATGTATGTGTTAGATCTTTATAAAACAATTAGAAGTCAATTTATCACTCTATGGTTGTGAACTTCCCCACCTGCAACAAGAACTACAATGTCACTTTTGTGAATATAGTAAAACCTAAGATTTGTGTTATTAAAAAGAAATCTAAATAAAGATAATATCTAAATATTTAAATATGGTCTCTAGCTATTTCTTGAAAGTTTTTCATAGAAATTAAGTACAAAATGTTGTAAAGACTCCACAATCTCCATTACTAAATAAGTAATGTAACCTTATTAAAATATTTTATTCATAATGATATAGTTTATGCCAAAGTCAAAAGTAGTTGACTTATTCTTGATCTCATATGGCTTGTCCCTTTTCATTTTGAGGTGATGGTGAGAGGCCTTCTTGTAATACAATATTGCCAAAATCCATAAATATCCTAAAATCTTCTTATGTACTTGTTAAAAAAGTTCATTGCCTTCTGTAAAAAATAATTAATAATTATAGAAAGGTACGATTCTTATAATATTATCATTTTTTTACAGAAAATAAGCTGCAAAAAATCTAATGAATATGTAGATAATTCACTAAAAAATATATGAAACATGCTTCCGATATTTGTATTAAAATATGTCTTCATCACTGATAGTGTATTCCAACACCATTGACAATCACTTCAAACCTATTTGGGATTTTTTTTAAATGGCAAATGGTATTTTATAATCTTGAGCAAAGTTTTCACCAAAATGATAACATATATTTTATGTCTTTGGGTGTCTTTGTACACACTTCTTTTTATTAAGAAACACAAAGTGTCTTTCCTACAAAAAAGTAACTTGCCAATAAATCATATTATAAAGCTAATAAGGTCAAAATATTATTATATAAACATTTATAACGTTATTTTATTATGTTGAATAAATAACTTGTTAAATATTTAATATTATTAACTCATATAATATACGATATATTAATTAATTAAAATTTAACTAACTATAACTTATTTAATTAAATATTTAAAAGTAATATATTATTGTTCACACCTCTTTTTGTTCTGTCTAGAAGTATGGCTTGCTTAATGTTTTTCCTTTTTCAAGTCACCCTTTTTTAGCTCACCCTCTTGTAGAAAACAAAGGAAGAAAGGTAGGACTGGCCCCTGGCAAATGTTTCAACACTCAGGTGGCTTACGCAAAGGCTAGGGGTGACCCCTGGCAAAGGTTACGCAAAGGCTAGGACTCAAAAAATTTCGGACTAACCCCCTGGCAAATGTTTCAACACTCAGGTGGCATCGAATTTTTTTTGAGTCGGGAATGTCGATCCCACAGAGAATGAGGTTATTA